TTTTTTTTTAAAGTACCAGGTGGCTGGGGCCAGTTGGGGCAGCCATTGGGGGTCTGGGGTGCAAGCAGTGGGTGGGGCTGGATGAGGCAGCCATTGGGGGGTCTGGAGGTGCAAGCGGGGGATGGGGCCAGAAGGGGTAACCATCTGGGGGACTGCAGGAGCTGGCAGGGGATGGGGCCAGGTGGGGCAGCAATCTGGAGGGCTGGGGGAGCAAGTAGGGGTGGGTTATGTGGGCCCTGCAGGGGCTGGTAGCCCCTGTGGGAGCCATGTGGCCCCTGTTGGGGGGGGTATAGCCCCTGTTGGGGGCCTGCTGGCACCAGGCTTTAACTCCCTCTGGCTGCAGATCAAGGAGGAACCAGGCAGTGTTATTTTGCCCCAAGTGGCACAACTTGCACCACACCAAAATGCATGTCTAGGCATGTGTGCTAAGACAAGAAACCCCAGCTCCAATTTGCACCACTTCTATTTGCACTCCTGCAAGTGCACATGTCTGTATGTGTGGACTCACCCAGTGAGCCATGAGGGAGATGGTAGGGTCTGATGGGTTTGGGAAACAATAGGGTGGGGCTGAGCATGGGGATGTGCATGATAACAGGGGACAGAGAGGAACCAGGGGACATTTGAAGTGGCAGGGACAATGCAAAAAGGGCTGTGAGTGGCACTTTGGGGTATGGTGGGGTGTCTGGGGGACCTGTGTGGGGGTGCAGGAAACACTTCTGTCTATAGCTAGGCTGAGGGGTAACAACTGTACTCCCCTCCCCACCCACAGCAAAAGGTCCCTGCCCACTCTGGATCTGGCAGGCATCTTCCCCCAAGCTCAGTTATAACTTTGTAGTTTAGATTACAATCTGAATAATATATCCCTAGGCCTCTAGCATATTAGTTAAGTTTCTAGTTTCTTTTTAACTGGAGAAAAATATGCATTATATTATGGGACCACCATCTGCACCCCTTTTCCAAAAATCCTAGATCTCTCCTGGGTAATGCCTATTGTACTTTGTATTAATAAATAAAAACACTACCACCTTATGGCTGGCAGAAAGTCTCAGAACACCAACAGTTGGGGACCATATTGCCACTTTCCCCATAAAAATATGCCTTTGCATTCACAGGTTGGAAATTTGCCCATAAACCTGTGGCTCGAATACAATGCATTTAAATAGAATAGCAAAGTCTGGGTTCACGCTTCAGAAAAACAGATGATATTTATTAGTGGAAATGACCCTACCAGGCAAACAATGATTACATGAAAGAGGTCTAACAGATACTGCTTCAGATGCCCTGGGAGACTTAACACTGTTAACAGGGTCTCTTAAATATTACTAAAAGGTGGGACAAAAGGAAAAACCATGGCATAATGGCAAGGGTGCTACATGTATACACAACTTAAGGTGTTATAAAATGGGAAATCAGCCGTAATAACTTACCACATTTTTATGGCTGGTTTCTATGGTACCTTAACTCAAACATGTAGCAGGCTTGGGGCCAGGGCCAGTATTCAGCTGACTGTCAGCTCCACCCAGGGACCTGACTGGGGTCTTGTACTGTCCCTGGTACAGTCCATTGCCAGGGTGATAATCAGGCTACTGTTTTCTAAGGAAGCATAGAACTGCTAGAAACAGTTTAATTTGGTCACACTGTTCATCCTCATCCTAAATGGACAAGCAAACACTACTGGCTATAACAAGGCTGAAGGAGGCAAGAGTAAAGGGCAGGAAGAGAACCTTACCAGTCCCTCAGGGGTCTGCTGTTGAAATCCCTATGAAAATAGAGTGAATCAAGACTCTGTTCTTGAGTCACAATTCCCTTCTACTTTTCAATAGTTGACCTATGTTGGTTATTTGGGCTAACATTTTCTGTCTTCATCATTTTATACTTTTGTCACACTATCCCCAAACCAGTCTTTCAAAGTTTCATAGATTTCATAGATTTTATAGACATTAGGGTTGGAAGGGGCCTCGTGAGATCATCAGGTCCAGCCCCCTGCCCAAGGGACAGGTAGTCATCTGGGGTTAGATCATGGGCAACTGGTGCCTCCTGAGCCAAGGGGGGAACAGCACATGGGGTGTGGGGGCACAGCACACCACTACCCCCACCACGCCCCTCCTTGGGTCACTCTTCCCTGGGCCCCCTCCCCCCCCCCACAAGAGCCCCAGGCTTACCTTTCTCCCAGCAGCAGGAACAGCACCTTTGCTGGGGGATTGGAGCACACTCCCTATAGATAGGGAGGGGGAGGGAGGCAGGGCAGTGGTCTGGTTGGCTGGAGTGCTCTCTGATGCTCCAGGCTCCAGAGCACTGTCAGGGAGGGTGCGGCTGGGTATAGAAGCAGAGAGCAGTCCCGGCCATACAATCAGGCAGGCAGGGATCCACTTTGTGCTTGGCCCTGTACTGAGCAGTGCCAGGGCATCAACAAGCTGGGGACATCAATGGGCCCCCCAGCACTTTCAAGGTCCAATCTCAGGGGGGGCATGTGCCCCCCCAAGCCCCTCCTACCAGTTGCCTGTGGATCAGATCACCCCAGCAAAATAAGCATCCAAGTTTTTCTTAAAGGTATCCAGAGTAAGTGCTTCCACCACTTCTGTGGGGAGTCTATTCCAGACTCTGGAGACTCAGACAGTGAAGCAGTTTTTCCTTATGTCCAGTCTAAAATGGTCTTCCAGCAGTTTGTGACCGTTAGACCTTGTCTTCCCTTGGGGTGCCCTGGTAAACAGATGTTCTCCCAGTTCCTGATGCACACCCCTTATATACTTATAGACTGCCACCAAGTCACCCCTGAGCCTTTGGTTTTTCAGGATGAACAATCTCATGCCTCTCAGCATCTCCTCATAAGGCCTGCTTTCTTGACCTCTAATCATGCATGTGGCTCTCCTCTGGACTCTCTCAAGCTTCACGTTATACTACTGTTGTCTCCAAGTTCTAAAGGCAATTTTGTACCCTTTCCCGGGTCACTTCCAGGAAAGATATTCAAGTGTAATTATAGTATGTATAGGAGAGGTTATAGTTAATCTAGACACTTGTAACTTAGTCGGAAAAGAGAATGAAAATCATCAGGTTACCTCATAATATTGGAGGCATCTTCAGCATCTGGGTCAGCGCAGTATTTATTGGCAAGGATTAGGCACGCATCTGCTGACTCTATCTAAGACACCAAAAAAAAAAAAAAACCTAATGTAAATAGCAAACTTTGTTTTTAGTTTCTTTCCTCAGCTCCCAGCTTTAGGGGAACCAGCTGCTTCCCCCCAGTAAAGCAACATTTTTTATTCATTTTTTATTCATTGCCAAACCACAAGGTTTTGGCGCATTGAAGATTATGGCTTCTTTTGACACAAGTAATGGTACTGTCATGACATCTATCAGGTTAACTTCTCAGAGCTCCTCCAAATATTAATTAGCCTTATGATACCCTTGGGACACTGGTAACTTGGTTATAGGCATTATTACCAATTAGCATTGTTAGTGTAAAAATGCATAACCTGAGGCACCAAGGTTAAGTGATTGAAGGACAAAGTTTTTACCTTGGGGCTTAGACTCCTAATCCTTAGGACCATGGATCATGTTTTTATTATGCTTGTACATTGCCTTGTACCACAGCACCTTTATTGTTATTTAGATTCTTAGGTGCTGATATAATTGGCCTAAATTAGAGCCTGTGCACCTACAACTCCCACGGATGTCCAGGGGAAGTGTTACCTACATGCAAGATGTCAAAATTGCCAACAATGGCCCTCATTAGCCTAAAGTACATTTAATGTAAAACAAAACCATTGTTTTTCAGCACATTTGGGCAAATCCTAACATAAGGAAAGAAGGACTGGAGAAGACAAGAATGCAAACCCCTACGACTGAATTTTATGATGCATAAGGAAAACATTTTTTCTGCTGACTTGAAGCTCAGCACATCTTATGCCACAACAGAATGAACAGATTCTGAACCAGCATGGGCAGAAATCCTGATTTCTACTCAGTAGAACAGTTTAGTATTAGACAAAGATCCTTACAACTTAAGGAGTTCACATCACATTAGAAGGTCATGAAATGGGGTAATGCTGCATACGGCAGTTCAGTATTGTTTTTTTTTCCTAAGCTTCAGAATTTGGTTTACAAACATAAAAATATTGGATATAAAATTGTGTAGCCAATAATTGCACATTATTATATTTATCAAGTACTTCATTTTGTATCTGTCTTTTCAAGATACCAAACAATAGAAGAGGAAATTGACAGGTACAATATATATTTTTAATTGGCCCTATCCAAATAGACCCAGTAGCATTTGTAAACAAAAGTATATTATTTAATGCCAAACATTAATAGAACCACCAAAGGGAATCTACTTTTAAAGACCACTGAGTTCAGTGGAAATTGGACTGGTGCTACAGACTGCTTATTTAAAGATAATAACTGGTAGAGCAGGGGAAGCAGTAGATCGTTACCTTTACTCTTGCCAGGTCATGTGGATTGAGAACCGAACCCTGATAAAATTCCACCTGAGTGAAGTGTCGTTTAAAAAGAGCTTCCAGCTCAAGGTTAGGGGAGATACTGCATTAGGAAGAAGAAAACAAACAAAAATTCAGTTTCTGCAGCAACCTCCCTGAATCGCTCTTATTTAAACATTTTTTTTACTGTTGCTTTTACTGTAGGATGGAAGCACTGGCCCATACCTATTGTTGAGACAGCTCCTGTTCTTTTATTGGATTTCATCCCACTTATGTCAGCAGTAAGTCTGGGCCATTGAACAAAACTACTACCATCTTCCCTGAATACACTTGTTTCATAGTTACTGGGCTCCCATCCTCTTTGTCACCTTCTTATGCACACTGACCTCAGAAAAGGAGGAAACTATCGAAAAAAGTTGCCATTGTGTGGGTTTTAAGAAATAATTAAGAGTATTATTGGAAAATAATTTACAGGATATACCAAGTATTATCAACTCAACTGGCTGAACCAAATAAAATCCATAATGCCAAATGGCTGAATTGGAGACTGGTTCAAATGTTCCGCCCCAAAAGAGGATCTGAGACATCTTAAAGTTACCTAATAGGTATCACTGCCATAATCTTTTCTGAAGGATGAATATGTGAAAGACATGGAAATGAACTGCATTAATTTCTAATCTTAAATTATTGCAAGGCTATATATTTTTTGGTTTTTACATAAGGCCTGTTAGGAAATTAGCAAAAAGGCAACACAAAGGATCTAGATAGGCAACCTTGTGGTAAATAAAAAATGCAGTACCTAGGATATATAGACTAGGTCCCATATTGAGAATGATGGAATCAGGGGATTCCACTAGGACAACAAAGGCATCAGACCTAAAAACTGAGGGGGGCTGGGGTACTCGTTGAGACAAAAAGAGAGAAGAGAGGTGCAAATAACCCTGAAAATAAGACCGTAGCTCTCAACAATTCATTCAGATAACTTGGGTTGGAGGGATAGAAGGCAGAAGCTGAGTCAGCCTC